AGGAAGGGTAAGAGTAGCTTCATTTAGAGAGCACATATCAATACAATTAAGATGCCATATTGACCCAGCCTGCTACCGCCCAGACACGTTGATTCTCATTGCTTCACCAAGCATCACTTTAGAGGACATTCATTATTGAGCGCCCTGACACGACCATGAAATAAGCAGATATAAGCCTCTTGCTCCAAATCAACTCCTCTCCGTGTAGTCATGCCATTGTGGTTTCTAGTGCTCTTCATGTCAGACATGAAGTCTAATCCCACGGTAGGCGTTTGTATTCTGATTTAGACACTTCAAGTCTTTCAATGACTGAGATTGCAGTTCGGGCTTGATAGGTTAAGAGATCATCTAAATGCAGATAAACTCTCTCAAATATCTGAATTGATTATTGGAGATGGATTAATGGCTCCGTGACTCCCGTATACCTTTGCTGTCGACTTCCAGCCGGATTATCGAAAGCCTTGAAATGTTCAAATTGACATCTGGCAAAACAACATGTCGAGCAATTTCAATACGATAGTTCTAGAGCCCTGAGCAAGCGATGGAATCGCCATGGCTTAATCGCATGGAAGGATTGTCAAAGTATCCTGAAACGATTGAAGATGTGATAAAAGGTGCAGGAATAAGTTTGCGATCCCGAGGTCGGGCCACTTTCCGGAGTGCTAGAAGTGCCACCAAGATCTCCTGAATGATTTACAACGTCACAATCTCAATATACCCACGCAATGGCATTTCCGGACGAAGATAGTCGTTCCTGAAGCCCGTGGAAATATACAGGCGACCATGGTGAGCAGCTGGTGGCAATGCAATGTATCCGGTTTGGTATGGGTAGTACTTTGCACAGTAATCTTGGCACACAAATCTTCTTTTGGACCGATATGATAAAAGAAAGTTTATTTTACATATATACAAAGCCTTAAAAAGTATCAATGGAATGGTCAACTTTAAAATGCTCAAGATTAGTCGGTGTTCCTGAAATTGTCAAGTGTTGACTACCTTCACAAACCACAATCGGGAAGCCCTCGCTAATCCGACCAGATACTCAACCTAGACACTTAGTAGTCCTCCAACATATACTTGATAAAAGTACGATAGCAAATGGAATGGGCAGAATAGGCTCTCATATTTCTAGATCTAATTGATGTAGATGGACATTCATTAAGATGTTGTCAAAGGCTAGCGATTTAGCATCAAAGTGATTGTCCCTGACTCTGACTTCAACGGAAACCAGTGAAACAGAAGACACTGACAATGCGATGCTACACGGGAAAATGGTTTAATATGTGTTGAAGTGTATGTCAATGTGATATCACACGGACTTGTCTACCATATCATTCACAGTAAAGAACCCTTTCAGCTAAAAGGGTCTTGGCCTCGGGAAGCATCGAAAGTAGTTGAAAGGAAAGGAAGTCTTTTAGACGGTTAGCAGATAAGTTAGGTAATGATGATAAAGTAAGTACTCTAGTATAACAGTATCTTCCCTTGCATTAGGTGATTAGTTTATGTTATATTGTTTTTGGAATGTTGCCCCTTGTACATATATAATTGGCACTTCCGCGTGGTCTTCATTTAGGCCCAGCCACAAAACACCTCTTGTCCCCTCTCTTCTCTCTCTCCTTCTTCCACTTCTTCAATGCAACCTTTTGACCACCACCACACCACCACAACACCACAAATCGTACTTTTGCTTCGTTATTTTCAACAACGTCGCGATTGTACCCTCATAATCCTTTGATGTCTCCAATATTTAGTCAATAATTTATCACCGAGAATCTTGTATTTCTTACTCATCAGTTTTTGCTGTTGAGTAGAGAGAGCAAGCCACAGCCTGGTGGATCCTACTCGTCAACTTTCGCGTCTTCTCCATAACATACATTAATGTTACAACAATAACGCGACACATTTCGATCAATATGTTTTCCAATTTACTAGACAGAATGGGCGCATCGTCTCGCTCTTCTAGTAAGCACGAAATAACGCGTGCCCCTTCATCGGAATCTATCGATACTTCGATCACTGTCGACGACGCCACGAATTTAAATTCCTCTACATCTACACCTCCAACAAGCATTGGAGACAATGTCAGTGTCACTTCTGCCACCGGAAAGCCCGAGCCCATTGCCGACGAGGCATCAATTGCACCCGAACATACAGATAGACGAAGTCAGCGAGCACGCGCAAAGGTCGGAACCTATAATGCTAAGATTCTTGCCGGCACAGCCGTACACACCCCCAAGAAATTTTTAAAGGACAAGAGCGCTCCAGACCATGAAGCACGGCGACAAACTATATCAGGAGGTGAATTGGCTGGTGCATTGGGTCCGGCAAATGCGTCTGCAGGCACTATAGGAAAGAATGGACAAAGGCTGGTTAGTGAGGGAATTGATGCTCTGGACTTGTCTTGGTCAGTCAAGAAACTGCCCAAGTCAGCCAGCAAACCCAATCACAAAAGCCCTAAAAGTACTGCTGCTAAGAAGGAGGATCTTTCTCGAAGAAAGTCTTTACGATCAACACCAGGCGAGAAGGCGGATGGGCCCACGAAGAAGATCAGCTTACTAGGAAAGAGGGATCGAAAGGAAATGGAAGGAGGTCTTCAGAAGGCAAAGCGGGAGCTTAGAAACCTCGCAGACACGAAGGAATTTGCAAAAATCGAAACAGAGCCTGTTGTATTGGAAGTCTGGAGCAATGGAAAGCTTGTTAAGAAGGAGTCGGCAAGGAAGAAGAAGAAGGCAGAGGAGGCCCAATCTCAAGTCTCCGAGCCGGAGCCTACCAGGACCCCAACAAAGAAGGTAGCGCAAGGCAGGAAAGAGAAAGCTTGGTTGACGAAGGGACTCTACGCAGGACAGGATCCGGCCAATCTTGACTGGTTCAAATCTTCTGGAAATACAAAGTCGCCTTTCAAGTGGACTGGAAAGCCAAACAAAGCCCTGCCATTGCCCTTGTGGAATGGCCAAAGATTACTACATGTTGGAAGAGATTTTAAACTGCCTTTCGACATTTGTGCTCCACTCCCACCAGGACAACCTAAACCTACCGAATGGTACAAGACTTCTCATAGTAAGCTTTGTGGATTTAATCGCTCGGGTATTTGCTAATTCTTCATATAGATCGATTTATCGGAGAAGCTGGTTCAATGTGGAAGAAGTCAAGTTTGTTTGATAGTTTCTTCTCTAAGTGTATCTGTAAACCCGATGCGGGTTGTGATGAAGATTGCCAAAATAGAATCATGCTTTACGAGTGCGATGATACCAATTGTGGCGCAGGTCGAGACAGTTGCACCAACCGTGCATTCGCTGAGCTCTTCAATCGTCGCAAAGGCAATTCATTCCGAAAAGGTGGCAACAAGTACGAGATTGGAGTTGAAGTTATCAAAACAGCTGATCGTGGCTATGGAGTTCGAAGTAATCGCTGCTTCAACGCAAACCAAATTATCGTTGAGTATACAGGCGAGATTATCACTGAAGACGAATGTGACAGGCGTATGAATGAGGATTATAAAGATAATGATGTGATTACTTCCTTCCACTTTTCACTCCAAAATCAGTTGGCTAACTATCTTAAAATAGTGTTACTATCTAATGTCATTTGATCAGAACATGATCATTGACGCGACCAGAGGTAGTATTGCTAGATTTGTCAACCATTCCTGTAGACCAAACTGCAGAATGGTGAAGTGGATTGTGGAGGGCAAACCGCGAATGGCTTTGTTCGCTGGAGATAATCCAATTATGACTGGCGATGAGCTCACCTACGACTATAATTTCGACCCATTTTCGGCAAAAAACGTTCAAGCGTGTCGCTGTGGCAGTGATAATTGTCGCGGTGTATTGGGACCTCGACCAAAGGACCAAAAAGTCATTAAGCCCACCACCATTAAAGATGTTGTTAAGGCTGGTCTTAAAGCCGGCAAGCGAAAGCTTCAACAGATGATTGGTGATGACGAAGACGACGAGGACGCCCAGATTCAAAAGAAGCGAAAGACGAAGACGGCCACAGGAGTCAAATCATCTATATCTACCGCTACCACAAATGTTGCAAAAACAGTCAAGAAAACAGTCTCTTCACAACTTTCGAACGCTCGTCATGTAGTTGCCTCTAGCAAGAAAGCAATCAACGTTAGCCAAGCCACAGCTGGCTCACTCAAAACATATGGAAAGAAGCAGATGAAGCTCTCTTCAAGCAGCACAAGTTTGACTATCATTTCGCCAGAGAAAAGTCCCAAAGGCAAAGATACGACGAGAGAAAGTATGACGAAAAGTATAGCACGAAGTAGGCGTTCTACTAGAAGATCCAGCGTGTCTGATGATGCCAATGAGAGTACGATTCGGGTTGTCACTAACTTTGAAGGAGATGAAGGAGATGAAGGAGATGAAGGAGATGAAGAAGAAGATTAAATGATGGACCTGTAACCACGATATACACAAATTTTGGCTGCATTGTTAGGGGGTGTTGCTGCGCGCGGGGGAAGGGGGGTTGCTAGGGTCGGAATGGGCACATGGACTTTTATCTTATTTGGGCTGCTGGCATGGCTAAATCTTCAACGACTGGCGTATGGCTTCTTTTTGTATGAATATCTTCTAATAGTTCCTCAACATCAACTTTCGGGATTTTTTGCTTCAATTTAGTTTCACCTATCCTTGAACTGCGAATGAAAAAACGTCTAATCGAGTGAGAATGCACGATTAGCAATTAGATTGATCGCATGCAGCCGAGCCGAAGCCAGTCCGCCTATCTAATCGAGATTTTAATGCCGATTTCTATCCACCGCCTTTAGAGAAATATTTCTAAAGACATCATAGAATTATCAACTCTGCCATAGGAACTATAGATCATTTTTTTAATCAAGCAAACTTTGGTCAATTACTTTCAATTTGCTACCATCATATTTTCTGTTTAACATGATACCATTCACATAATATAACCAGCCCCCAAAAACTATAAACCCCGCCACAGGCCAGAGAGAAGAGAGAACTGGGAAAGTTCTCTCCACAGATACATTCATGAATACCACAGAGGATCGCAGCAAACGTGGACTGCCCGAGGTGCATTTGACACAATCTAGAGAAAATGGAGATCTAGGACCTCCACAATCAGGATATGTATCAAAAGTAGCAGCAAAGCCTGTCCCAGTTGCTAAGTCTTGGGCACATTTTGTTGCCGGAGGGTAAGATTTGCCCCTCCATCGTTTTTGACAATCGATGCCTCAAGATCCAACACTGACATATTTTTGACTATAGTGTGGGGGGAATGACAGCTGCAGCTCTCACAGCGCCTCTCGACGTCCTAAAAACACGCTTGCAATCCGATTTCTACCAAGCACAGCTGGCGCAGAGCCGTCTGGCCAAGGGGATTTCTCCACATGCACACCTCTCGCCACTACGTAGCGGACTTTTACATTTCCGTGAAACTTTTCAGATCCTCGGGTCAGTACATAGACTCGAAGGATATCGTGCGCTCTTCAAAGGATTGGGGCCAAATCTTGTAGGCGTGGTTCCTGCGAGGTCGATAAACTTTTTCGTCGTAGGCAATGGAAAGCGAATATTGGCGGGGTATAATGGTGGGGTGGAGTCAGCTTGGGTCGTTTGTCTTGCGGCTGCCGCTGCTGGAATTACGACGAGTACGGTTACAAACCCTATTTGGTTAATCAAAACTCGATTGCAACTGGATAAGAATGTGGCCGAGAGAGCAGGAGATGTTGGCAAGAGACAATACAAGAACAGTTGGGATTGTATCAAGCAGGTTGTTAAGGGAGAGGGAATACGGGGTTTATATAAGGGAATGAGTGCGAGTTATTTGGGTGTTACGGAAAGTACATTGCAGTGGGTCTTGTATGAACAGATGAAGAAAAGCTTGGAGAAAAGAGAGGAGAGGATAACCTTGAGTGGGAAACCCAGGAATTTCTTGGATCACTCAATACAGTGGACTGGAAGCCTCGGAGCAGCAGGATTTGCAAAGCTTGTGGCTGCACTTGCGACTTATCCTCATGAGGTGAGCTCGGGTTCATAGTTCTTGGTAAATAATATGCTAACGACCCATGTAGGTTCTACGTACACGCCTAAGACAAGCACCTTTAGATCATGGACGACCCAAATATACCGGACTCGTTCAATGCTTTAACCTCGTTTGGAAAGAGGAGGGAGTGGCTGCTTTATATGGAGGCTTAACACCGCATCTATTACGAACAGTGCCTAGTGCTGCTATCATGTTTGGCATGTATGAGGGAATACTGAAATTACTGGAAAAGCCAGCTTCACCTTGAGAAAGGTATGGATAAACTGGGTAGATGTACAACACATGAATAGGATTTTACGATGGCGTTTGTATCAAGAAAGCGGCACATGACGACTATCAGGACTTGTGGTATCCCACTTCAGGCAGGATCGGTTACATACAATCAATGTACATTATGAAAATCTATGGCGCTTTGTGGAAACGGATGTGGGTGGGTAGATCATCGGCATACTGTATCTACATATACATTGGTTATATATAGTAGGGTGGGCATTCCGCTCCAAAGACTCAAGTAGACGGGAGCAAGTTTGCAGAGGCAATAAGCACGGTTCTCTGCTTTCAGATATTTTTTCATGTGCTTGATTCTGATATAGCAGATACAGCAGAACTTGCAATTAAGTTGTGCAAGCAACCATTTCCCCAAAGTGGTCGAAATGCAGCCACCGACCAGCTAAACGCCCTTGGTATATGTGAGAAAATCGAAATAAAACTACGGCTAACACCCCCCACCCCGTTTTGAGTATGAAATTACCATGCTCCCATATTTGTAAGCGATCTTATCATATTTCAGGTTTCCTGCCTTGGAGCTTAGGACATTGTTTGTACCATTGATATCGTCTTTCCCATGGTATTCGGACGTCGTTTCTTGAGTTTTCGTGGAACATGTTGTGTCTTCACTTCCAAGTCCTCCCAACGACTTCACCAAGCATTGCGATCCCAGTTTGGATCTGCCACTCATAGATTAACATAGCTCCTTCATTATCAAGTGATCCCATTTCCAAATCCGAAGCTTCGGAGATAGAATGACAATTTTTTGTCAAGAAAATTAGAGCCACTCACCCTGTACAAATCCAGCCAACACCTTACTACCCGTCTGCAAGAGCGGATGTCCAACGACAATCTGCAAGAATCGCTCCAAGCCCTCTCTGCGATGCTCAATCACATCGTCGCTAAATCTGTTGGTGAAGACCTTTCCGGGCAGAGGGGGGATGGTCACGCGCGCACTTTCGCGCTCCAAGAGATCGCGGAAGTATTCGAAATCGCTGTAGCGGCGGCGGACGGTTGAATTGCGCAGCTTGAAGGCGGGAATGTTGGTGCTGCAGTTGATTTCGTAGTCGGTGTACATGCTGCGGCCGATGCCGTGGGTTTGGGGATCGCGGACCTAGAGGGAGGGGTGAGTTGGTTAGTGGTTGGTTGGTGGTTGGTTGGTGGTTGGTTTGCGAGGGGGCAGGTGGAAGGTTGGAGGAGGAGAGGGGTGGGGGTTGGGGTGCTGGAATCGTGTAGTGTTGTATAGCAGAGAAGGAAATGGGATAGCATACTTCTATTTCAAGAAAGTTTTCAGGAGGACCATAGATCTCTTCGAAGCTTTGTTGACGAGAATCGGGCATGGCCTGCATGGCAGATGGTATGCTAGATCTTCCTGGCGACGTAGGACTTTTCGGAGAGGTTTGGCCTGCGACGGGTGACTGTGTTGATTGCGCCATTTTTGAAGGGTATCGGGATGCGATACGACAATGTAAAGGGATTGACTATTTGATTATGCAACAAAATGGATACAGAATATGATGATTTATTATTTTGGTCGTTCCTTGATGTGACGTGATATCTTTTTGGGTGGATGAATTTGACTTGTTGACGCTTTTAATATTACCTAGGTTGTTTCGTTATGTTATTATGTTGTGTAGGTGGGCTGGCTGGCTGGTAGGTAAGGAAGGTTATGCACTTCTCGCCCATGCGTGCATCTGAAGTCTTTTGGGTACTGTTCGTCTCCGTGATAGCACAGAGTAATAATCAAATAGTGGAAGGGACCCATTAGATATGAGAAGGGAAGGGCGTCTCTTTATTTTTTTTGGGGGGTTAGGGTTCTGGTGGTGGTGGTTGTGGTGGTGGGGCAAATTATTGGCTTTGGAGTTTTGGAACGTTGGGATTCTTGGATTTCCCCTCTTTTACGGAAGTTACAATGGTAAGATCTTAACAATGAGAGATGAAGGAGGCAGGAAGGGGGAGAGGGGAAGGGAGAGGGGAAGGGATGGGAGAGGGAGGACAATCAATCAACCAATCAATCAATCAGTTATATATACGTTGGTATAGTATATATGATCTATCTATCTATACCAATCGAATGCAAACGACTCTGGTAACCCCTCCTTATCAACAATGGTGATTCAACAAGACTAAACAAGTAACCTTCTGGTAACACCAAAACCGTTGATGTAATCCATTTTGTTTTGTTTTGTTTTGTTCTGCTTGGCTTGGCTCCCGATTCGATATCAATCTCCCTTGGGATTTTTCTTTTTCCTGTAGAATAATTCTATCTATCTATCTATCTATCTATTCATCAAGCCTTCTTTGTAAACGCAGAGCTACTTAGTATTCTCTCATCACTCAAACCTTCAATCCGAACATCAATCGTATCTCGTTGCTTTTCTAGCCCTCCCAGCTTTTCCATTACATTTTACTGTGCGAGCGCACTCTTCGTTGCCTTTTGTGCTTTTCCCCGGCGACTTTCGGTGTTTGCTTCTCCTCGATCGTCAATGATATCCGCCATGGACGTTGTCAAGAAGTTGATACCATGGGCAAGGCCACTTGTGAGCACCATCACGACTAATCGAATGTTCAAAACAGAACTAATTCATTCTAGCTTCTGGTCATTCTGTCTGCTGTAGCTGGGTAGAACGCTCCAAAATACATTTGTTGATGGTCTGTAACTGATACATACTCGCTCTAGCTATGCATACTCACAAATTCGCGCCCTTTCCCTTCCTATCTCCCAAGCTCTCGCACTCTTTACAGTCGTTCTGCCACTCGTCACTGGAATATCCACACAAGGTGCCGTTGGATTGATCCAGCGAGCGAACAAGAAGGAGCAAAATCAACTCACGCTGCCACTAATTGCTGTGATTGGTTTTCAGTTGGTCTACGAAACTATTGTCGCTACTCTCGCTCTGACATATATGATACCACCCAAATCATTACACTGTGGGTTGGAAGATGCGTGGCATAGTCTGTTCAGTGCAAAAGATGATAGAAAGATAAGCGCAATTCAAGATGCGTTGAATTGTTGCGGTCTTCATTCTATGGCTGACATGGCTTCGCCGATCAAGAATCAGAAGGGTCCTGGGAGTTGTGAGGCTTTGACGGATCGTTCGCAGTGAGTTAATCATTCAATAACATATCCAAGACATCAATCTAACAGCTCCCACAGAAGCTGTTTTGGCCCCTGGAGACAAGCGGAGCAGATAAATGCTGGCCTACTTCTACTTGTGGCCGTTGTTATTTTCACCATTAAGGTACGTTTCCTTTCTATGGTATCAAAATATCCATCTCTTGCATGTGTGCCAGATACAATCGTCTCATCTATTAGTCGTGCTTCTATGTTACGAGGGTCGAGGAAGTTCTACATGGTTCACCAATGTTTTCAAAACTATAAGCATGCATAAAAAGTTATTTATGCACAGCTTAGATTGGATTATTTCGCTGGCAACAAAAGGCATTTCAGATTGCGGCAAACAAAAGGTATCATTCATTTTCTGACATCAACATAGGTGACTTCTATCATAAATCTGCTTACCACCTCCTTCTGGAGACGCTCGTACTGGTCTCGACCTATTCACAGCATAACGAGTGGTGATACCGAAGCGCCAGAAGAAGATAATAGGGCAGAGACCAGACGGCTAATCGAGGAAGGTGATGACGAAGAAGAATCTTACCGAGATGAACCCACTCAGAGACGCCTCTCGGGATTGAATGGTTTGGGCCATGGCCATGGCCAAGGACCAAGAGTCGAGCCTTCTCGCTTGTCACAAAACTATTAGGCAATCTCGATATTTCAAGCATACAATAAGCTTAAGAATGAGATGCATGAGGCTCAACAAGAATCCTAGTATCCTGGTCGATAATCTGGGGCAATCAACTCCACTTGGGGCAGTTTCTGGGTCGTGAGAGATGATTGGGGCGGACCTGGGGAAAGCGTGAAGGGTGATGAAGGGCGAAAACGAGAGATGGCTGATGATGACATTGAGAGACATATTTTCTGATTTCGGTTGTGACGTGATGTGATCAGATGGCGCTATTTACATTTATCCTTTGATATTATCCTGCAATACAAGAGCATCTCGATATAAACTCTCGAGACACTTCACTTGGGGCGTAATCAAAATCGGCACTTTTATCCTGACGGTTCTGATATGAATCCTTGCACCTACATGGTGCTAATCGCAAACACGTGATTAAGGGCAAGTCATTAGGCTGAGTGAGGAAGGTATGAGGGTATCTAGATACGACGAGCACTCCACAGAAGAAGTATCGAAAGGTCGCTGATGGGGCCTTTGGAAAGATAAACAAGCAAAACTTGAAATGTTAAATTTATTTTTGGTATAAATACCCATTTTCATATATTTTATATGTCGAGAGAAGCCCACGAAAGCGCTGCAGGCGATAGGGAAATTTTGAGAGGAACCAACGAGAGAAGCGAAAAATTCAACTGCTTCAGTAGAAGTGCATATTTTAACTGCATACTCGGCGTTACATTGCAGCACGAAGCGTGATAAAATCTACTCGGTGAGCTGGATGTGGCAATCGCGAGAGCCTTTTCCCATTTATTTTTCACCAATGAAGGGGTGGAAATCATAATAAATCATAAATATTATAGGTGTACAACTTTCCAACACATCTTTTCTTCTTTTCCCACCCCTCCAATTTTTTGGGGGGGCTCTGCATCGCTTCCATCCCCTTTGCTTGTTTGCACTACCTAGATGCGAGATGGACAAACAAACACAGCACGATGTCCATGTTCAACCCATCATATATCGGTTATCTCTTGGACGGAACAATCTCTCTCTCTCTCCCCAGAGTCCAGAAGACGGTCGACCTTGTTATTAGCAACTTACCTAATCTACCCAAACTTACTCAAAACTACCTAACATCGTTATACACAAATCAAGAGTGCAGAATTCCACATTGTCCATCCCACCCCGTTCTTGAAGAAACGTTTTGTGTATGTATGTGTGTGTGGGTGGATGGGTGGGTGGTTGTTTATATTACATATGTACAACCAAGTGTTTCCCGTGTCCCCACGAGTCCCGGTCATGGTCATGGTCTTGGTCATCTCCGCATAATGCAGATAGTGCAGTGCAGACAGAACAGACCATATACACCCCAGGTCAATCATCCATCCGTCAATCAGCAATCATTCATTCATTCATCATCCATTCCACCACCAGTCCACTCCATCCCGTATCTATAGTGCCCTTTGCTACCCCGAAAAAAGCCAAAGCTTTTGATAAAAAGGATTTTTTTCTTCCCTTTTCTGCATTTTGCACCGCTTTTCTCATATTTCATCCAGTATCAAAGAATAGGTTATCGCTTGTGGAAATAGATAGCCTCGACAAAAGATCTTCGATCGGATCCTTCCTTCCATCCATCCCCTCATTCTTGTAATCTCTATTCATCTGTCCATTTTTCCATACACACACACACACACACATACATACCTACATACATACTGGCACGGTCCACGAATCCAAGGATGACTCTGGCTCGAACAGCTTCACCGCAATGCTTCTGATATTAACATTTCATTTACATTTCGAAAAAGGTCCTGGATAAGCACGCACGTACCGCACAGAAAATTGAATAAACGAACAAGAGGAAAAGAATACCGACAAAATACTTACTACACATAGGTCATGATTGAAAAGCCCACTTCTCAGAGGGCTCGGGCCGAGTGGCCGAATCCGATCTCACCACAAAGGGTTCGAAAGAGGCCGCAACAGCAATCGTCGCATACTCAGCGCCGTTATTACAGTCCCAGTGCCTCACCGCCTGGATCATCACATTCACCATCGTCGTCGCTCTCGTCGCGATCTAGGAGCTCGTCCTTGCGACATAATCCAAGTTACCATATTCGTCTAGATACTCGCCTAGACAGGCTAGACAGGTTCTCGCCCGCGCCCAACTTTGACTATTTTGAGTATCAGGCCGCGATCAATACCTCTCCTTCGTCGTCATCGATCATTGGACATGTCGCTGGTGTTACGACTGCTGGAGACGGAGCTCTGAATTTAACGGCGCCTCACACCTCACTTCCGGATACTTCATGGCTGGCCAATTTCTCTACGGGGCCTATGAATACCATCCCACTTAGCCCCGATGATGCTGTGAGTCCTGGATACTCGACATACATCGGAACCAATGGCGGTGCTTCATTATCGCTCCAGACTGGAGCTATGCCTGGACTTTCCATGCCATGGGATATCGTGAATTCTACTACACACCTAGCTGGACCCTCGGATTTTGAAGATATTTGTATGTCAGAGGCTAACGTGGGAAGCTATGGGAGTCATGGAAGTATGGAGCTGGCTTCTGCTTCTGCCGTCTCGGCCACATCCGACACATATGTTTTCCCGTTTGGATCCCCGGGAGGGGCGAGTCCATTACTTGATCTTGAGATTCCTTGTATGTAATGATTTTGCTTGCCGATCCTGTCTATCTCATATGTCCCCATTCTAGGATATCGTGTCCGAACGTTCTTGTCTCAATCCGAGGTCAACTGCTTTGCTGACGAGGCTACAACAGATTATGTAAACCAAAACATGATGGTCGACCAAGCAATCCAACGCGCCGAAAATATGAATACCTCGTTACCCTCTACTTCCACATTTACCTTCGATAATACATCTACTTCCCTAGATTGGGGATTTAACATGTTCCCAACAGAGCCTATAGCTCCATCAGTAGCCCCACTACTCGAAGCCCCAAACCTACTTCCGAGAGGCAGATACATACGGTCACAAAATCCCTGGAATCCGCACGATGAAAACGGCAATGCCTACAGCGAAAATTCCAACACCAACTGCGTCGCATATGAGCCCGAGCCAGCTCCTTTAAATTCCTACGAACCTGAGCGGTCTCCTATATCCTATGGGACATCATCACCTGTGGATAACGACAGATTAATCGTAACTGGACATGGCCAATCAATTCACGATGTATATGGACCAGAAGCACCAAGAGGTAATTGGTTTGACGAAAGTGATACATCAACCTCTTATTCCAACACTTTGTACACTCCTTCCCATGGCTCTCCAGTATCGCACCACTCTCCACATCCGCCCGGATCGCAAGCACCACTTTCCCCCGACGATCCGAACCATCATTCGCATGTATTTAGCGCGTTTCCTGAGCCGCAAAAGAATAAAGTTACGAGGGGCCGTGTAAGGCCTTTAACGGAAAAAGAGAAGCGGGAGGCGAGAGATGTGAGGCAAGCAGGCGCTTGCTGGGCTTGCCATCTTTCTAAAATCAAGGTGCGTGCGAGGCTACACCCATCACACAACGGAATACTTTGCTAATTGATTTTTGTCTAGTGCTCACCTTGCTCGCCTGGCTTTCCGTGTGAACAGTGTACAAGGCTTTCTGGGAAGAGAAGGTTTTGTCTCCTGCCATGTTTCAATGATCCAGTCGAAATGCTAGACAAGTTCTTAGTACCTGGTATGCTCTCTACGGTAGCTTTGGTGGTGAATCTTATCCTGATAAATTTATAGAAAGTCACATAAGATTGTATACAACCGAGAACACCAAAAAATTCATCTCGAGAAACGCAGAGGCATGGGGAACAGATGAGATGATAGTGCGATTGAGTTGGGGCTACCGCGTCCCGCTGAAAGTTACCGTAGTCTCTCTGTCAGTACGAGGTTCGACTTCGATTTTTCGATATCAACATCAGACGTATCTCAACGCATCAGGTAGACCGACATTCACGAGAAAGAAGAGTCCACCACTTGGGATTCCGCTTATGCTGATGGAGGAGACACAGGAAGAATATGCTCGATATATTAAGAGGATTGTTCAGCATGATCTAGATGAATATGCAAGGATAGCGTATGAGCCGGAAGAATCAGATATTGCGAAACGTTTGCTCAAGACAGTATGCCAGTTTTATAATGCTGGTGTGGAAGCCAACGATGAGGTAAGACATTTCTCTTTCAGATGGTGGTTTCTTGCTGCAAGTTTGTCTGGTCTCTTGGGTGTACTCTCTTGATCTTGTACTACTGGAGTCAATTTCCGTCAAAATTGACACTCCCAACGTTTATTGTGATGGCCCTGATAACTGACAACCACAGTATGAACTCCTCCGCGAGGCCCTAGAAATACACATTGCTTGCGCTATACTTGAACGAAGCTTGATCCTCGATGGCGAGTCCACAAATTTGGTAGAGGGGCACCTGAGAGAAGATTTCCCACCAGAATCTTCTCCAAGATGTGCTTCCCGCCAGATCAAAGTGGCGTTTTTCATATCGCAACAGGAAAGGATCAAAGAAGTCCTTCGAGAATGGGGTCAAATGATGTGGACTAGCAATCGCGCGACTACAAATGAACGCAAATGGGCCATTGGATTCAGCGTCTTACTCGTCTTGACTCTCGTCATGGACAAGACGTTAGGTCTTTCATATTGCAAGTGCGTACTTCTCCTTAATCCCGTAGTCTTATGATACAATGCTGATTCGTAATTGTAGTGCCGAATCCAGAATCAAACATGGTGGCAAAGAAGCAATCATTGAGCGTCATGAATTCCAGGAACGAGTAAAAGTAACCCAGACGAACTTGTTCGAGAGATGCAAAGAAATTCTCCATTCCAAGTTCAAGACACGGAAAGGAGGTAAGGAGAGCTTCAATCCAATCCGTGACGGTGATGGTGCATGGCGTGGCAAAGTTATCGATGAAAGAATTGCCGGCTTTGTACACGATGTCAAAAGTGTGGTTCGGGATCATGGTATGTTTCTCCGTCTTTCTGCTGGCCTTTTCTCCCTTCACCGTTTCTTTCTGTGTCCGCTCGCCACCGACCGAGTTCGGTCAGAGTAAATTATTGTACGAAATTGGTGATCGACCTTGAGACTAATGTTGCTTCCATCGAACAGAACCTCAAGTCCGGTCATGTAGAGTTAAGGTCTCGAAGATTCTGCGAGATGACCCATCGTCGTTGTCTCTGAAAGTCAACGAATCATCTTACACGGATGCGGCCCGGCTAGCCTGTGTATTTTTGGACGATTTTCTGGAACATTGAAAACCCTGAGCAATGGTTCTACCGGTAGAGGCTAGGGATTATTTCCCGGATCGTCGGCAAATCGATTTTGGCAGATACTGTGGGCTGGGGGCAGGGGGTTGGGGGTTGGGATCAGATGGCCTGATTCGGAATGGAACTGGAAGAAGTAGGATGAACTAGTCAGGTCAGGAATCTGGAAAGGATTGCGGAGAAGACCAGGGAGTTGACTCGCGATGGATCAGGAGCGACGTATTATTTTTGTACATTTGACATGATGATCATGATTTTGATGATGATGAATGACAACGAGTAACGATTGGATTGGACGGGGGCACAAAAGAAAAAGGAGTCGGAAATGACAAGTGGGAGGACATAATTTCTGGGATCCGATCAATGAGAACAGATCAATGACTCGAAACGTAGCATCTCGATGAAGTTTCATAAAAGTGATGTAAGTGGGTGACGAGGAAGTATATAACGAGAAAAGCTTCTAGAACAAACAATACACCGAATCTAGACTTTCAGCTGAAGACAGTATAGAGTCACGATTCATGAATGATGAAGTGAATTTGCACGGCCAAGGATAGATACTCGAATTGTACCATGTTGGAAACAATCGATCACCGATCAACTTCCTGCCTCATCATTGACATTATTGCCATTGACGTTATTGACGAATGACTTGTTCGATGACATAGTGAATGTGGTGACCTCTAACCCCTACAGAGTCTAAAGGACACCCAACCCTATAAAAGCGCAAAAGAAAAGAATCCCTGAAGGACATCTCGGGGTGTATTATTACACCCTGTCGATCGAAACCCAGCAGACAGGGGCATGCCGAACACCAGGGAGAAATATCGCAGACATGCTTTCGCATTTGGCTAGAGGGCGAAACCCACATTGCCTAATAGGGGGAGATTGGTGATCTTATGGGCCGGCAGTGGGAAGGCTAGCCTGCTACAGGTGTAGATGAACAGAGCAGCGTGATCGATCATGCACTTTGTGGTGTGGATAGATGAGAAAAAGGTACGTCGGTGGAGCGAGCAGGGGAAGCACAGATGCACGGCAAGGATTGAAGTGAGATTCGATTCAATCGAATGGTTCGAGAAGGGAAAGAGAAGCAAGAAGGAGGAGAATTTAGAAACAAAAGAAGATCCAGGGGGTCAAGGGGGTCAAGGGGAAAGAAAAGAAAGAAGTTAAGAATAGTATATCGCAAAGTAAAGTAAGTACGAAGACCCATCGCGATCCCAGTTCAATTGGCCCCATGTTTATGAATTGAATGAGGGAATGCGGATCCACCGCCGTACGGGGAAGTCGGAATTCGGTGAGCGTGAGCGTGAGCGTGAGATGAATGGATAGATAGATAGATAGATGGATGGATGGATCGATCCCAAAATAAAGATATACATACCCAAGAGGGTTTTAGAAGTACGAAGAAGAAACATCACCGTGTGCGTAATTGGCACGATCGATTGAATTTGCTTTGGATGGGGCCGGGGTTTGGGTTTGGGAAGGAGAAGGAGAAGGAGAAGGAGAAGGAGAAGGAGAAGGAGAAGGAATGAAAGGAAGAAAAAAGAAAAAGAATGTTGAAAGAGAAGGAGAAACAAGAAACAGAGAAAGAAACAGAGAAACGGAGGAAAGGAAAAAAAAACAAAACAAAAAGAGAAACATGGCAAGAAAAGATGTGCAACACTAAAGTCTGAGTGCCGTACCAAAACCCACAAGTATCTTTCTTTAGCAAGTACCCAGTACATTGGATACAACGGTCGGGGAATGGGAGAGCGAGGGAGCCGGGTTGGGTTGGGTTCTGACTTGTAAGTTGTAAGGCTTGCTTACTTTGGGCTTTGGCCGCGGATTGTGGTGCCGGACAGGGGAGATCCTGAGAGTAAATTGCATATTTCCCTTTTTATAGTAAAGTGTAGCAGAATTCAATTTTTTAGAATGTTGGCTGAATATCTCTCCTATATCTGGAAATAGAGAATCTTATGTCATCCAACTCTTGGGGATGTGGGAATGTGGTGGTGGTGTGGAAGTGTGAGTGTGAGTATGAGTGTGAGTGTGAGTATGAGTGTGAGTGTGAGTGCGAGAGTGTGATGGGGTGGTGGTAAAGTTATTAGTTTCCGATTGTCAAAATACATAGATGGCATCACGTAAGGCTGAGTTAGGAATATGAGCATAGTAGGTGGTGGATGGGTGAGTGAGCGTGGTGAGTATGATATGAGTATGATGTGAGTATGATATGAGTATGATATGATTATAACCATCAGTATAACCATCAATATAACCATCAGTATAACCATCAGTATAACCATCAGTATGAGAAATCACAACTTGTATGTGTTGCACAATGTAAGATGTAAGATGTGTCATGTAAGTAAGATGGATATGTCCATTGCGCCGTTAATCCAGTCGGGGAACTCTAGATGGAAGCCATTCTGATGCAGGAACCAAAAAGTAATCGCATTGTAGAAAAGGGGAAATTTACGAATGAGTGTGTGTGTGTGACGTCGATGCCATCCTCACAGGAGAGTGAAAACGTGGGAAACCTGGTCATGTTCAGCCCGGCCAAAGGGATTTATTTCATCGCGACGGTAGCACTGCACTGCATACTGTGATGTTGGTCGATGGTAAAAAAAATGGTAGGCTGTGTTTTGCCATTACAATGGTTTCTGTTGCGACCTGCATCAAACTTGCTGTGTCATTGTTCGGTGAGCAACCTTTCTGGATTCTCAGAAACTGCTGGACTCCTGATGGGATGGGCCTCTATAATTTCATGTATCATCACGGCGGTGATAATGGCGAGGAAAAGAAATGAAGACCAAATCTTGGTTCACTTGCATGCAAAGTGCAGATTCGTGAGTTAGCATACGAGGGAGGGCATGGCACACTTCTCACCGAGATGATCGCCAGTATGATCACCAATGTGAATGTGTGTATCACCATAATCACCCCGAATGCGATGCAGCTGGGGGAGAGGGCGCAATCGTAATCGTAATCCTCATGAATCATGATACCTTACTTTTTTCTTCTGGGCCTTTTTTCGATGCATTCCAAGGTGGCTTGCGAAACGTGCTTGCTGACATGGAGGCGACACCGAAAAGTAGTTCTACGGATACGCACAGCAGAATGGTGGTTGAACTGACAGACAGGTCGTGATACTTGGGAACTCTCATTGACAGCCCGCCCCCACGGAGCACCAGAGGACCATAAGGCGGGAAGGAGATCGGATTGCTTTGTCTAACATTAGGCTATGCAATGCTATGCTATGCTATGCTATGCAATGCAATGCGATATGATGCTACTCGTATGCCATGTTGTGTGGTACACGTTAGGTTACAGTAGCGATGGAATGGATGCGAGTAAGAATTGCCCGATCTTCCTCGGTGACGGTGACGGTGTCGGTGTCGGTGTCGGAGGATACGAGGAGGGAGGTATGGTATGAGTACTGCCGCAAAAGCAAAGAAACCCCCGACCGACAAGAAAAGTGTCCATGGATTGTCTTGAGAGGGCCAGATCGCATGGCTTCATGTTCATCAATGCGGACCAGCGGTACTCTAGACGCACCGTGGAACCTCAGGATGAGAGCCGTACAGAGAATGTAGGGTCATCAACCCCCTTGACAAGAAACGAATGGATGAAGGGATGAAGGGTCTGGAAATCCAAAAATGCGAAACATTAATCGATCAACCACAATTTGGTTAGGGATGATTGAAGATTATTGGACATTGAAGATCCAACATGGATCCAACATGATTTGATGGATGGATTGATTGATATTCTCGTTTGCTCACCCTTTGTCAAACAGACACCAAAAATGGAAATGTCCCAGTCACAGTCACAGTCACAGTCCCAGTCCCAGTCCCAGTCAGTCCATCATGGGCTGACGCATCTGGATTAGATTCTTTTTCTTTTCCTATCGACAGAGGAGGTACCGTACCGTAGTTGGAGAGATTCGTGTGATAGATTTCCAATCCACTGTGCTACCCCGTAGATTTTCATTGTTTCTAGAACAAATTTCTAAAGAATCTATTTAAATGATTACTAATTTGGATACTGTGGGATTTCCCCAATAAATTGGCTGAGACGGGGTTTTGCTTTGTGATTCCGGTATCCTCTTTTCTACTTTGGGAGATTGTCTTGGAGACCGTGGGGTTCATTCAATGGCTCTTGGGTCAATGTGTATTCAAGATGAGGCTATAGTTAGTGACAACTTACGAGTAAGTCTTCCATTCCATCTGGGTCCGATTCCATCTAATCCATGAGTCCTGTCCCATCCAGATCAAACAAATGACTCTACCATGCATTTCCGCCCTTGCAAACTAGATTCGTCGCACTTCCTTTTCCGTTGTACCTCATGCCTGATATCATCATCCCAAGGCTGCAGGCAGGTATACGGTACTTTCATTGCGAAGCTAAATAGTACGGTACTTCGGACCCTTTCCATAGTGTGCATGCTCCCCTCCCTCCCCCCTTCCCTAGATCCCTGGCTCAGAATTAAGAGTCAGAGCAGGCGCCTTTTGTGGCTATATTTCGAACTGATGGTTACCAACAAACATGGGGCGAACCGTGGCAAATGGAGCTGAGTGAGAATAATGATAGGTTAAGAGACGCCCTTTACCCTTGTCACAGTCACTCTCCCCTGGGATGGGCGTCAGGCAGTTAGTCGCTAAGATGTCAAAAAAGTACCCAAGGTTCATAATCTGGGACCTCAGTGGGTAGGTGGTTACATTTAGTCAGGTTGCAAGGTTCCAGATATTCCCAGAGATTCACATTTTGGGAACCTTTTTCATACGTTTCTCAACGCCGAGCCTGTAAAGTGTCTCCCAGCTTTGACTACCTCAGTCATACTTATGACGATGCTGAGTGATTGTACTATCTGTGCCTGGAAATGGGAAAGGCAGCCTGGATGGCCTCCTTGTAATCTTCTCCCTATCTGAACATAGACACCGATCTACCATGGGGCTCTCAGCCACTATCCAAGCATGGCCCTATGCAGGTGTTTTGCATGTTGTTGCTATGTATAATAATATAATTGTGATATCTTCAGAAAAGACTTATATACATTAAGCTCCAGATACTTAAACCCCCAGACCCTCTCCCCAATTCGTTTTTGTTTCAGCATTTCCAACTGCATCAAATATCAGATATAAACATCCTCCATCCCCAACATACTTTCAAAGTTCTTACTTTACATTTCGCACACATCTCATACTCCATATCATCGAACATATATAAAACACTCTCCAACACTCAACTACCAAGTACATCCTCCAATATAATCTCAATACCAACCAACACCCAACAACCAACTACCTCCACCAAAAATGTCTACCGAATCCTTCGCAATCACCAGTATGTGAAATTCCTTGTTCATGAGATCCTTCTTCGGCAGTTATGGCTTCTAGGATTCTCCATTCCACCTATACGTGTGATCGTTGCTAATAGTTACTTTACAGACTCCATCATGGCATTCAGAAGCCACCCAAGAGACAACGATGATGATGACCACTAAATACCTCATTATCTCTTTTGCCCGGTGTATCTACAATGGACTGAATGTTCGTATATCCTCATTTTACTTTTCTCTTTCCCTCCCAATCAATTTGGTACTTTGGACAATTTCCCAAAGCAGACAATTGAGTACGAAAGTTTCGGATCGTCAAGACGAGGCTGGAACCTTGAGCAAGTGCAAAAAAGGTCTCAGACTCAAAGCCCTGGTCTTTTATTAGATTCTTAGTGGCCCTGAGTAGATGAAAGCTGCAAGATGTTGCAAGGTCGGAATATGCAGCCGAGGCGGTACACTGCGTCACAGTACTTCTTCTTAGCACTTTCTCTACGGAGTCCTCTTTTACTGTGGCCAGATAAGCGACCCTTATCACATTCATCAGCCACTTCACTACACGCAAGTTACAAATGCCCCTTTTTGCAATTGATTGTATGATCGATTGTAATTGGATTCAATTATATTGCATTGTCATCTGTTGCCCCGAAATGCCCTCGTTGCCCCAAAATGCCCTCCCTACCTCATTACTCTTGGAAGAGAATAAGTAAACAGGGCCAAAGGGGGCATACGGGGCATACGGGCCATCAGGGACACAAGAGGATAAGTGTCCAAGAAGCAAAAACTCAAAAGCAACAAGTATTAATTTTGAAGATCTGAAAAACAAATTAAACTAATTAAAATCTTATCAATAGATAATCCCGAACTTCACCATGTAGTCAACAATCTCAAAGCCGCCCCCCCTCAAATTTCGATCACGAGTACAACATCAAAATTAAAGATCGTATTAGACATATACACCAGGCATTATTACCTCACCGACCTCCCCGACCTTACCCCCACACCGAAACGAAACGCAAACGATATCAGATTCGCAAAAGCACAAAATCCCCAACTTCCAATAGCCATAGCCCATTTTCAGCCTTGCTCTCCGCGACCGAAGTCTTCAATTCTCTCCATTTTCACCATCGATATCCCTCCCGTCAGCTTCTCCCTCAGCCCCTCCAGATGGATTGTCTATCTGCACCGCAGACGAACCCAGCACGTACCGAGTACCCAAAATCCACCGCGCAATAAACTCCCTGGAGTGGCTCAGCACCACAACATCACCTCATCCAACGTTCAGCCCGGACCCCGAGACTTAGGCTGCCCTCTCTCCACGCAACTCTCACCAGTCTTCTCACATCCTCGCGCTTCCCCGATGGAGAACAGAAAGAAGAGTGTCATCATTACTCACGATGCATCGCCGTTTCATTCTCCACCATGCCCAAGATCATGTACGACGGCATTTGAAGAATTTCGCGGATGCATTTAGAGATGACTCCAACTCCTTCCTCAAAATATACGAGCTGGACCCCAGGGCTGACAATATCTCTTGGACCCTGTACTTTTCGTCCTCCAACACCATGGTCAGGATACGATGAATGTATCAACGTTATTTCTCTTTGGGCGTTTTTGATTGGGAACACTGGGACTTATTTATCTTAATCATTTTTTTTTTGGAGTCATTCGGCAGCGAGCGAGTCGATTTTAGAATAATTTTCCTTTCACCATCCCCTTTTCCTTTGTTTGTTTGGGTACACCAGGAGCTTGGAAGGAAGGATAAACGGTTATAGAATTGGTGGGATATGGATATGGTTATGGATAGCGACTCTTACAACGTTAGCTCTCGCGAGCGCCCTCAAAAACGGATTTTGGGTGGAGTCTTTCTCTCTCTCTCTCTCTTATCTTACGACGACAAAAGTCTGCAGGATGTGTTTCCTTTTCGCCATGTCTTATTAGTTTCCTTCCAAAAGAAGAGTCGCGAGATCAAATGGGAGGATTTATGTATTTATAATAGACATTCTTATCTTGTTATTGTAATGCCTTTAGGTATTACTGTATATCAATCAAAATCATCTTAATTACATACACCGAATGATCGAATTGTGTTTGAATTCCGACGATTGATTTTTATCTTTGCGCGGTGCTCAGAGCATACATAGCACGTCTGCCCCTTCATCGTCTCGCCAAATTTCGTGGGGTTCGAAAAAGGCCTAATTTCTAGTTGCATGACAACCGGAATATCTTCTAATACGATATGATGCGTTAGACTGAATAACCTTTTATTTTATTTTTTTACACACAATTCTATCACATGTTGTAGCACTCTTTACTTCAGTACATCGACTTTAGCACGGTTGATTCAGCACCATTTACTTCAGCACCACCCTCTTCATTACCATGCGAACTCTACCCCAACCTCCAATTCACCAAAAGAAGCTCAAGCTCCCTTTTCAAAAACATCAGACCGCAAACTACCCAGACTCACCTATACCGACCTAGGTACTCATCCAAGACAACAGAGCATCTCTTCCTTATGATCACAAGTCGGAGGTCTTACAACCTATGCAGGTAATTTGTCAAGCTTACTTACTGAACTGTTCCACCTCATTATATGAGTACACCTTTTTCATAAGAAAATAGAATACCAAGTAAAAAAGAGTTGTTTCTCGTGACGTCTTATCAGGAAAAGATGATATCGAAAAAGGTTCATCTTCATGTCATCGAGTAAATTAAGTATATCTATATAATGTGGTATAAAAGGCCGTCTCGAGATATCTGCTATTTCTCTTTCCATCTTTAATCTCATCTCCTTCCTATGAGAAAGTAAAATGTACTACAACCTCCAAATTTCATCAAAATACTCTCCTCTCATCCCTATCGCCGGCCACCACCAGCAGTGACTGCGATTCGATGATTCATATGTATTATCCTCTCTTCTGCTCACCTCGTATATTCTTCAAAATAATACAATATCAAGTACAAGTATGATGCCACCGTGGTAACATGAAAATGCAAGGAAAATAGGTATCTAGCGTCAGTGCAAAAGTCAAAAAGTGTTCCCTTCCAAAACACCCAGCCAAACTCCTCAAGTCGTCTGTCTCAAAGATGTAGGTCCTTGAAACCCTCCCCCTTCCGTATTATCAACATTTTGCAATTCCATATTATTCCCTCCATCTTGAAATTCCTTATTAACAGGCGCCGTTCGTTTTCCCCTTCGCTCGCCAAATCTTTGATCACCTTCTTCGTATTTCCGTTTGAAATTTAAGTAGGTTGGAGGCCGGGGTCGACAAAGTACAGCAATCCAGTTACTGACAAAGCTTCCCTGGGTAAATGGACGATGGCGATCTTTCTTAATAAATTTGTGTGAATTGAGATATTCTCTTGTTGTCTCACCTCGACCCATAAGGAAGAAATGATATACCATCAGTGCGGCTGGGTATGGTGTAGCGAGGAGGCCATAGATGAACATTGCAAAGGGAACTCTCCAATGACTTAGCGAGGCACCGAAAGAAATATCTTGTTGATTCCCGTAAACAATAATCTGGGCTATACTTGCACCCAGGAGATACGTCCCAAGAAGTGTACCCGAAGTTACAAATACAAAAAAGTATCGGTAGTTTCGACGGCCGACGCAATTATTCAACCAGACACAATGATGATCCTGCGTCTCAATACAATTGTCACAAACTCGACAATGGTGTCCTCTAGGTGGCCGCCAAATTTTACAAGTCTTGCAGTATTTTGTAGGCACTTCCATTGCATTTGTACTAGATTGGGCCGACTTGATCATGGTCCAATCATTTTGAGTTGGTGCCAGTCGAAGAGGATCTTCATCCTCCTCTGCTGGAGGCATTGGGTGTAAATTCCGAGGTAGAATCTAAGATAATTAGCTTTGATCAGATAAATCTTACAGGTGTTGAAAGCGTGCTTGCAACTACTCACTCCGGGATCAGATACAGAAGCATGTATAAAAGAGGACATGCAAATGTAGAAAATGTAGGCGTACAAAATAGGTACCGCAGGAGATACATGGTACCATAGAAACGGGGCTGAGAACACAAAAAACAGGACTGAGGGAACTACAACAAACAATCCCGTGGCAATGTTGATGGGTCTGTGCCGAGTATTTTGCAGCCTGCCTCCCCAGCAAAATACTGTGTTACCAGTGAAATATTGATGATTTTTACCCAGCTTCGAAGTCTGCATGTTCCTGTTTTGCGCATCCGCGGGAGTAAATCCTGGCGAAGAAGCAGCAGACGAGAGCTTTTCGCGGCCTTGGTTGCTGCGACTCGGACTGGGGCTTCCAGCAGGTCCATCGTTTCTTGTAGGCATCAAAAAGTTGGAATGAAATGACCGTGGAGATTTGGGAGTCGAAGTACCGTTTTTATAACCCTTATCAATGTTCAAACTCAATCCTCTCGTATTCGCTGGACCTTTCTGCAAGGGGCGGACACTATCTGCGAAACTTCCAGCTGCATGGCCATGCGTGGGACTTGTGTTTGCGGTACCTCTATCCACTGTTCCTAGCTCTGTCACTTCGGTACCTCGCGATGGTGGCAGAGGTAGATCTGCATCTTCGGTAATGATTTGCTGAGGTATGGTAATGTTCGAATGTACGCTTTGCCTCACACTACCTCCATCCAACGACCCATCTTCGCCAAATCCTTGCTGTGTGAGTGTAACTGGTCGGGATCCTCCACGTTGCGCCTGGAGTCTCTGAGAACTCATCGGGCGGAAGAAAGCATGGGCACTTAAAGATGGTACGTGAGTCTTGCTTGTAGAGCTTGGGGGTCGTCCTGGTGCGCTCCCTCGTTGCGCCATTATTCCTGAAATATAGCCTCTTCGAGCTGGGGCAGCTTGACCAAATGTTCCTCTGGAAGAAACAGCTGTGACGCCTGTATCTGGCCTTGAGGTTCCATCTCCAGTCTGTATGCTGTGACGCTGGCTCAATCGTTGACTTTGCGAAACTAGACCGGAAAAGGTATCTGTATTATCTCCATCTTCGGAAGCTATATCGGTCATTCGCGATGATAAAACGCTCGTTCCATCTCCTGTTTCTGAAGGCGCAAGATGTGGGTTGGGAAAGGTGTGATTGTCGTTATCTGTGGAATGACGGATTTTGGACGAAGAGTTGTCCCGGGAAGTCATTTCGTATATCAAAATCGTTCCTCCAAGATAATTCTTCTTTCTCTCATATCAACACGAATAATGGTAGTCGGTCGCACAATAGTAGAAGTGAAAGTCGTGTGCCGTGAGCCAATTTTATTAAATACCTGCTCTGGCTGCGATGGTATTGAGGGTTGTAAAAAGGTGGATTCTGAGATAAAAGTACTGGGTAGGGAATAAAAAGGTAATTTCAAGGAGCGTGAGAATTGGATCTTAAGTTTAGATCTTAATAGTAGGGTTCAAGCATTACATACTGTGCTGCCGTGTAAAGTACCAAAGTGAGGCGTGAAGAAGAAAATAATTAAAGTTACAATTTACAAGGAGCGTAGAGTGCGGGAGTAGAATGCGCTCGAGTTGCTGTGAGTGGACGTAGACAAGCTCGAGACAGGCTCACAGGTTAATAATAATAAGTAACGCACGGGAGCAGAGGAAGAGGAAGAAGGTTGGTAGAGCCGGCCGCCGTTGTGTTGTTTTTGGGAAGAGAGGGGTCCAAGCGTTGGGAGGGATTGAGAGTGAAGTCTGCTTTTGCTTTGAAGCTTGAAGAAGTGGGAAATGGGACGTGGGAAATAGCTGATATGAATTGGGAAATGAAGATTTCATGGACAGTTAGAAAAAGGGTGATGGTGATGTGATTTATAAGATTGAATGTATACCTACCGAGACACCTATGTACTCATCCTGGTAGCCAGTCCATTAACACATTCTCGTTAATGTTTCTGTAAGGACATAGAAACATTCACTCCCAACAAGCTTCGATTGTAGAAAAGTTGTTACATGGGAGACTTCCGCCAATCAGACATGGCACATTTTCGACCATCAGCACGTGATTTTGGTGACATAATCTGTGAACATCTTCCGCCAAAACATCTTGGAAATCGCATCGTACCATTTCTAGGATAGATTATTGCTCACCCGCGATACAACATCAAACCCACTACTTTCACAATGTCCGCACAAGCAGCAGCAAGAGCCGGCGCACAAGCAGCTAAGTCTGCAGCAAAGTCTGCAGATAGCCATGTTCTTAACAAGGGCGCAAAAAGAGATCCTGAACTCTACGTGAGTGAAACTACAAAACGCATCCGGCTTTACTGTAGTCCTATTTGTTCTCCGCTTTAGGTGTACCCCGAAGATTTGACTAATCCGTATTTTGCGCAGGTTCTGTTCGGTGTTATGGCCGGTGCCTTTGGTCTGGCCGGCTACTACTTCGGTGGGATCATTTCCTTCGACCCGTACTGAGCATTCCAATTGACTTGTGTTACTAGGTGGTAAACCCACTTCAGCTACCTCAGAAGCTAAAGTAAACGTCGCTCCTGGTACCATGCCATGGCAGACTGAGAGCTCCAGAGGCGATGCCGCCAGACAGGACTTCAAATACCAATACCACCCAGCCGGTGACCCAAGAAACCCACCAAAGGACGCACCTAGCGCATTGCACAGCGTCATTGTACCCAATGTTAACTTGCCAAAGGTAGGTTTCCTTCCCCCATGTATCCAGCTTACAGAGCACTACGAATTGTACACTCCTGTTCATATCCGTGTGCTATTGCCAGAGTCGGCTAGGTTCTTATATACTCTATATCTATACTAACATACTTCTCCAGGAGCTACACGAGAAATACAACAAGTGGGGCAAAGACGGATATTAGATCAGAGGAACAAACACAGATTGTGGTTTTGGGGGGGGGGGGGGGTTGCAAGACTAGGCAGAGCTGTACATAAGCGGAAGAGGCTATTTGCTGCATTGAACTCTCATTGTTAGACTTGGGACAACTTTCTGATTTGCGTAATCACTTAGATGGGCCTTCCGTGAAAAATCGAAATCTTTCCAAAGCAATTCGTTCGTAGACAACTAACACTTAACCCTATGTCCCATGCCTACGGACGATCAGTAAAACTCATGGTTGCGAAGATTGTTACATCAAG